AATTAAAATTATAAGAATATATACAGGGAATCATTTCAAACTCAAGATTATCTGCAAAATATGTTCGAGAGATAATTAAGAGGATAACTAGAAATAAAATAAATCTTATTTGAAAAAAAATCGTTGAAAAAATTTATCTTTGCTATCTATTGGTTAACTTAACCAATAAGATTTATTAGTCGTACATCGATTACTAATCACTGGTATTTTATTGGTAATGTTTCGTCATACTCTATTTCCTTTGAAACTAGCTCTAATCGTTCGTAACGGGATTGAAAGGTCTTGAAAAAAAAAAAAATATACGAAAACTATTTCGCACTTATGGAAGCTGAAGAAAAATTCTACATCCTTTCTCCTTTTCGTTATTATTAATGTACACTCGTATAAATATGTATTCGGTTGAGCAATTGTTTGATTTTTCTTTTTTTTCACCGATTGTGCCACACATTGACTTATTTATGTGTCTCTGCAAATATTTCTGGACGTAAAACAAGACGGTAAAATGCTAAATATTACACGCGTTTCAACGTAAATTAAACGAAAGAAAATAAATATTTTGTTAAAATTAGAAACTGTTAAAAATAATAAAATTGGTAAAAAAAATGACGGTGAGTCATAATTGAAATTGTCTGATAAACGTCGCGACATCGTTAGAATGTAAAACAAGTTTATGCATGTACATATGTAATATTGATTTGTCATAAGATTGTGTCGTGTGCTTTGTAGAAATTACTTTTATGATGTAAATCTTTTTACGATAACTATTTCCGTTGAAAAAATCTGATAAGTTTGATGGAACGTATCAGATTTTTTCGTCTGTGCAAATCAACTCCTGCATACGCTATTTGAGTTGTATTATTGTAATGTTATTTCTCTCTTTTTATTGATAATGTTTGATCTTTAAATATCCGATACTTTTTTTTTAGTTTTTACATAAGCAAATTTATTTTCGTCAATAAAATTTGTATTGTTTCTTAATAGAGTTCCAAATATTATCATATATCATTTTACCCAGATTATTTAGTTTAGATAACTGTGTAATTTTATTAGAATAATACTCTCTTATGTATATGCATAAGAGAATTGATTCTCTTTTGTCTATAAACATTAAATCAGTATACAAATTTAAATGTCGAGATAAAACTATTAGCTCAAATTATATTTATCATATGTCATTTTACACTAATTGCGTCCATCATTTGATTAGTGAACGCAATAAATGATGGTCGTATATCATTACATATGGATTAGATTCGAACATAGTTTACGTTTATCGCAAAAAGGTAAATATTTACGTCACGCGTGTTCTCCTCCGATAATTACATGCGATGATTTAAGAATAATAATGAGTTTTTAAATGCAAGAAATTTAATTTATAAAATGCTACCTTTTTTATAAGCATCGTATATTTGATAAAAGTTCTAGAAATTTCACATTAATATGACTATACATATATATATAATATATATAGAGGAGTCCCGAAATTTCAAAACTTCGGGAACGTGTGGGGAATCGATAAACTAAATCGATAAAAAAAAGTCCTTTAGAGATTTGCTCGTTTTTGCTTCGTTCGGAAGAAAATCACAAAAAAACAAAAAAATTTTCACCAGAAAACTTAAAATAACACTAAAATTATTAGGTTCATCGAAAAGTACCATGAGATAAAAGTTGTAAAGCATGAAATTAAGAAAAGAGAGTGAATTGAAGTCTTCCTGAGGTAAAATTAGAGGATTGTAAATAAATACGCGACAACACAAGATTATCGTGTGTACCTTGTTTACTTAAATATTTATTACTTAAGGCTAAGTTCCAAAACGGTGTAAAACTTCCTCTCCGAGGAAAATTTTAGTCGATAGCCAGCCTGGAACCAATCAGAGACGCTCAAAAAAGTTTCGGAACGGCCATCGGAGTAAAATTTTCCTCGGAGAGTACGTTTTGGAACACAGCCTAAATAACTAACAAATAAGCGAAAAAAATGAAAACTTTCTTCGTTTCATTTTACTTATTTATTCTGTTATCAATTCTTTTTACAATCCTCTAATCTTACTTCAGGATTTTAATTCACTCTCTTTTCTCAATTCCATGCTCTACTACTTTTATCTCGTAGTACTTTCCGATAAACTTAATAATTTTAGTGTTGTTTCAAGTTTTTTAGTAAAATTTTTTTGCGGTTTTTTTGCGGTTTTTTTTCAAAACGAAGCAAAAACGAGCAAAACTATAAAGAACTTTTTTTCTTAGTTTATTGATCCCCCACACGCTCCTGAAGTTTTGACATTTAATTTCGGGATACCCTGTATATGCGAGAAAATGATTGATATCAAAGAAACGAATAAACCTTATAAATTTTGTAGGAAGGGAACTTTGTACGCGAAAGTTTTTTATTACGAACGATGCATCGCGCGCGAGAAACAATGTCGGAATCTCGGTCCCGGAACATCCCACTGCGGATAACGATACATTGCGTGTTACGTGTCGCGTATCGTGCAACAATTAATCATATACCACACCATTGTTACGTTATGTAATGTAGAATAACATGATACACAAACGCGCGACTTTGTAGCTGAAACTCGATTATTTTATTTCGCGCTCGTCTAGATGTCAAAATGAGAGGCACGCAATCACATGCGATTCAAGCACATATATATTAAAATTTTTTTTAATAGATAGAATGTGCGTCTGACAATATAATAAGCGAGTGAAAAAGGGAGGAATAGAAAGAGACAGAAACGGAAATTAAAGCTTCGGATTGAATGCTAAGTGGTAATTAATTAGATGCTCTCATAAAAGAAACATGTGTTACAATTTATCTAACATTTTATCACGAACGCGTTATCCTTAGGAATTACCAGCGATTAAAAATGAGGCCGCCCTCTCTTTGCTATAGTGCAAAGAAAAGCTTGCCAAAGTAAAAAAAAAAAAAATAAAAAATAAAGAGAATAGTAAGAAAATTCAAACGAAAATTTTCAAGAAGAATTAAAAACTTTCTTTTCTAAAACCTTTATCTTTATCACATATTGAAAAGTTTATAAGCATTATCGACTCGTCCTTAATAATGACAACAAAAACTATGATGACAGATTACGGGAAGTATCATAACGATCGTGGGAGCCTTCGACTTGTTTTTGCAAACGTTGTGTAAACGATCATCCCGTCTTGCTAATCGCAAAACAAAAGAAATGAACGTAGAGAAACGCGGCTCGCATCGTGAAACGTTGACTCAAGGCTTTCCTCGGTACATAAGGATGGCCTAACGACTATAAATACGTTCATTAAATGCTCTCACAGTCTATTGCGAACGAGTGGGACGTGAATCGAAGTCAAATCAAGTGCATGAAGGTGATTCATAAGAGAAGAGACATTCAATAAGAAGGAAGGAAGGAAGGAATGGGACAATATTTGATATGCATTCGAATAAGTGAGGCAAACAATCAATCGATGACCGAGGGAATAATTGAAATCGCGGACGCAGACGGTGCTTCAACTCTCGCGGGACTCTCGTGCTCGTCCGTAATTTAAATTTAATTTACGACCTCGCAAAATTCAATTCGATAAAATCTGCCGCTAACGATCGAAATCGACGTAATTTCGACGATGTCATAGATGGATGATCGATCCGTGTAATACATACTCTTCGTATCAAAAATTAAACACGTCGAAATTGCACTCCAATCTCGGTTTCTCATGAACAACGAATAATTTATAGATAATTCTCCTATAATTCCAATTGTGAAAAAAAAAAAAGATTAATGTTTTTATCCGATACACAGATTATTTAACAAATAATAAATTATTATATTTATCCTTATTATACGAAAAATTGTGCATATAATGTAAAAAATAACTTGCTTCGTGAAAAAATTATTATATTATTATATGTTATTATGACGTGAAAATGTGTGATTCTATTTAATAACTCTAATGTTTCTAAATCATTATTATTATTTAAATTTGTCCAAATTATTACTTTATTATTTATCGTATCATGTTATTATTTAACATTATTAATATTAATTAATTAATATTATTAGTACTATTATTCGCGTCGTTGTGAGATGAAACCAGACATCGAAAAATTAACATTTCTTTTTAATCATATATCAAGATAAAAACTTTCACAATACTTACTGGCTACTGAAAGATCGCGCACGTTGGTCCAAAAACCGTAACACACACAACAATCTTCGTGACACTTCGACGTAAGCGAAAGTAGCCTTCTTTCCTTCTTCTTCTCTCTCTCTCTCTCTCTCTCTCTCTCTCTTTCTCCGTCTGCCCACCCCGTTCTCTCAACTTTCGTACGGCTACGGAACGAGGAAGAACCAAGGGAGTCGAAGGGATCGGCACGACAGATATCAGAGCAATTCTCTAAAATTTTGACGCGAAAAAAAAAAAAGAAAAGTCGACCAAGACCTCTCCTCGGCTTCTCGCGGGAGCGCGCGAGTGCTAAAATGCGTCGAGCGTCGACAGGCCGAATAAATATATCGTGCGGTTTCCGAGAAAAGAGGCTAATTTAAAAAAAAAAAAAAAAAAAAAAAAAAATAAAAAAAAAGGGGGGGGGGGAGAAAAAAAAACAGAAAAATTAAAGAAAAGGGGGAGGGAGAGAAAAAAAAAAGATATCGAGCGTTATCGACCGCGTCGAAAGCGTCGAACGCACTACCGTCGTGCCAACTCGCGGACTGGCGAACGCAATGCCGGTGCATTGCTTTTAACCAATTCGCCATATTGGTACCCACCATCCCTTCTACCGCCCCTCTCTCTCCCTCCCCCCCCCCCCCCCCTCTCTCTCTCTCTCTCTCTTTCGTCCCTCGCGTCCTCCGCATCTCGTCCGTATGTGCCACGCGCGACATCGAGACGGTATAGTTCACCTGCACACGTTCTCTGGACGTCGTCAGTCGTCGGCGGTGTTCGCCAAGTGACGTCAACGGCGACGGATGATGATGAATCTCCTTCCTTGTGGACTGTGGGTGTCCGGATGCGCGATCGCGGATTATGTCACTACTTGATGTTAATTGCGCTTTTTAAATGTGCAAATCGGACTGCACTTCGACACGGGCTCTCCTCGCGAACCTTTTTTTACATATCTCAAAAGTCGAGTATCTAGGTAAATAGGAAATTATATGCGGCACTTATCGCGATAGCGAGTTCGAAAAGGCATCGGGCAATTATATTCTAGAAACAAAAATACGCACGCATCGTCCGCGCGAAGTTTGCCCAAATTTACATAATATAAATCAGTCGGGGAAAAAAGTCATTGAAAGACGTTCATAAGCAAAATTATAGCTTGAATATGAAAATAATATAGTTAGCAGAAATAATTTGCAAGCGAGCACATATATTTGATTAAACGACGTATTTTCCACAGGAAATGCGATTAAGTTCAACAAAGAATAATTGATTGTGTCTAAGCGATTTGCATTTTTAATGATATCAAATGAGACATGCTGTATATCTCTCTTCGATTCAATCTTCATACATTTTAAAGTCGACAGTTGTTAACGAGACATTGAAAACATGACGAGCACACGTGTATTTTCAATGATAAGAAGATTTCGCAAGTTTCGTAAATTGCGTTTCGTTTGTCTTTTTGTTATTTCGAGATTTTTTTTCTTACGGAACAACGAAATTATGAGTCATTTTTCGTATTGAGCTAACTTATTTTGCACAATATTTTTTTTCTTTCTGCTTCTCCGATTGACAGATTTAATAGGAAAAGGCAAAATTATGGAAGACGCCCGAGAAAGACTTCCCAGAAATTAACTTCGCACATGCGATTCATGTCAATTAAAGAATTTAAAAAGATGTTCCAACAAAGTGGAAGCATATATTGGTGCAAAAAGATTCCTTTTATAAGGAAGAATAATTATTCTTTTTTTTTTTACCAAATTTATGCAAATGTTTTGTTGAACACATTTCATTGCTAGATTAGTATTCTATTATCTTATTATTTCTAGGTATTCTATTTCTTTTTATTTAATTATGCTTAATGATGAATAAAAACCTATTCTATGATCTCCAAAAACGCCAATTTTACACATCATATATTACGATTTATGAATATAGGAAGATTAATATATATATTTTTTGGAGATCATAGAATAGGATTTTATTCATCATTAAGCATAATTAAATAAAAAGAAATAGAATACCTAGAAATAATAAGATAATAGAATATTAATCTAGCAATAAAATGTGTTCAACAAAACATTTGCATGAATTTGGTAAACAAAAAAAAAAGGATAATTATTTTTCAATAAAACTTCAAAGTCTTATAAGAAATTGAATTTGGAACAAAAAAAATTCTTTTAAGGAAGAATAATTATTCTTTTCTTTTTTACCAAATTTATGCAAATGTTTTGTTGAACACATTTCATTGCAAGTCTTATAGGAAATTGAATTTGGAACAAAAAAAATCCTTTTAACATAAATCCGGAAACGCTTCGTTAAAAAATTATGGCTAATAAACTTCGAAAAATCATGTTTCTTTGATATTTTTTAAAAATAACTTCAAAACCCTTCATTCATTTGTGAAAAAAGTAATAAAATAAATCTGATGAGTAATTAAATAACAAACTAAATTACATCAATTTCATTTAATTCTGATAAGGCGTTCAAAAAAAAAATAAGCTCAAAATAACGAAAAAAGCAGAAACTTGAAAAAACCACCTTTCGATGGTCTTTGTGTAAACACTATATTCGTAGTGTAAACATTTCAAATGCGAACATAAAAATGTTCTTATTAAATTTTGATCATAACTAATTACTTACAGAGAGTTTATTAGGTATAACTTTTTAACGAAGCGTTTCCGGATCTATGTTTGTAGAAACTTTTTTGTTCCAAATTCAATTTCCTATAAAACCTTGAAGTTTCATTGATCTAGAACATCCTGTACATATCGAACAAATTAATCATTCGGTATCGTATCGAACAATCAACAAAATTGCTTAGCATTCGATGTATGTAACGTAAGTTAAATGGACAACTAAAAAAGTCAACTTTGAGTACCTATATATCTCACCGAGTACGTATACAATGCATAAGTACGGTTATAAAATCGTAACTGAGTTGTGTTTATTTCTAAAACGACGTGAAGATGCTATTTCAAGTTTGGACTTTTCAAGAAAGGGTCGGATATTCCGCCGAAGGCCAGACACACAAGTTCACTGACATAGAATAGAATATTACGCAGAATATTTCGACGAGAAATATACTGCTTCGTCTTTCGCAAGGATTGCCTTGACATTTTGATTTATTTTTAATAAACCTCGAATCTGGTGAATTGTAAATCGTCTTTTGCAAATTGCGAAACAGGAAGGAAAATCGTGAAGGTGATCGATACAAGACGACCTTGAACGCTCTTGGAGAGACGCCTACATTTCCTATTCTTCGTACGAATATCCTCTCGCCAAAAATAAATATCATGATCTCGTAATCGCATTCAGAGAGAGGAGAAATCTCCTGAGTAAATTACTGCTATCGATTGTTATCTCGCAGCTCTCAATAAATTGCTTGAGATATTTATTCGAGAATATCCGTGTGAAAAAAGGCGAGTGTTATTCAATC